TTAAGAGTTAAACACATTTTTTAAATTGTCACATAATTAAAAAGAATAAACTACAAATAGAGAAAAAATAAAATTGAAAAAATATAATAAAATAAAAACTCAGTTTAAATACAAATTACAAGTTTCGGCTATTGGATTGAGCTCTCTTCAGACATTAACTTATCATAAAAATCGCTATACAAAATTAATTATCGGAAATGTTTGCATATTCACTATAATCACAATTCGAGTGAGTCTTGATGTAGAACTCGACATTATTCACATACGATTGAACAATCAAATGTTTTCCCTATCTCTTGGAAAAAGTTCTAGTTGATAAAAAAGATAAAAAAGACTTTTTACAAAAAAAATAAACACAACCAAATTAACATACATGAATAATTCAAACTTAAATAATTCTCTGTTAGTCTTGAATGACTACAAATATGTTATATATGCATGTACATATATAAATTCACATTGAATTATTTAAGCATTAAAGATTCAGTTTCGACCGTTATGGATCTTCATCCTATTTCTTATTGGTTGAGTTTTCACATGTACGGTCTAATAAGATTCTTACTGTTTATATTATGTTGCCAGAAAGAAAGACATTGTTTCCATATATGTACTTATTATTATGAGAAATATTACTAATACGCGCTAATCTAGCCGTATATTGTATTACTGTTTTGAAATTCCGCTTTTCGAAATTCCGATTATTATAGGAAAGCACTCTTAAAAATCGATACTAGATCAGTTCGATGTACCTCAGTATTTAATGTAAGAGTGAATTATAAAAGAGATATTTTCATACAAAAATAAATATATAAGCTATTAATGTACTAAAGGAGAAAAATATATTACATTAATTATATGTTACATTATCGAAAAAAAAAATAGATATAATATAGTAATCCGCAATGTTTACGTTTTGTTGTTACAACGCGAATAAAATCTACGAAAATTTTCTAAAATAACAATATCGATAATATCATTTGAGTGTAAATTTGAAAAGTAGTAACTGTAAATTGGATGGCTTTTTAGGGATATATCATTCTATGGCATCATAAGTTTACATATAATAAAATAATCATAATTTATGTGTATCATTATGAAATATCAAATTATTTTATATATCTTTTGACGTTATGAAGAAAAACGGAGTAGTTCTACACGAGACAAAATAATATTTTCTTTAAAAACAGTTTCAAATTTAAAAGATAATGTGAATAAATACATATAATATTAATAAATATGCTGCTATTTTTTTTAAATAATAACTTTTCACATTAATATTACCCCTAAAGTTGTCTTTAAAAAGAATTACTGTATTAAAAAATTCTTTATTCTCTGTATTATATTTATCAATCATAATTTTTTATAGTAATTTTTCTTGGTAACTTTCTAAAACATTCGAAATATTTTTAGTCCCAAGAGGCATAATATGTATTTTTTTTATTTGTTTGGTATATGATTTCTTTGTTTCTTACTCAACGATATTATTACAGCAACGATACTGTTTTATATGCGCACGTGGCATTGCCGTCTCATGTCTCAGCCATATGCTGATACTTACACTTTTCATGCGATATCTCTGTGACCATAATTTGCCGACAATGAGTTAAGAGAAGATAAGTGCGGATATTTACACGACTGTTTTTGAACGGGGAAAAAAAATATAATAGAAAGATAATACATCTTTGAGAAAATATACTCAAACATTCTTAAACGATAAACATTTTATTGTATAAAATTGTAGTTCAAAATTTTATGATGAATATAAAACAGAGATAAAGTTTGAATACTTTTAAAAATATTTTTTACGAGATACATTTTCCTAATCACACTATAATATAAGTATTAGAAAATCAATGTAAATTAATAATTTTTGTATTTTGACGAAATATTTTCACGATAATGAAGAATTTCTAAGTGAAAAGAAATTACATTAAGATAAATGTAGCACATACTTTGTTTATTCATTTTTTTATCGATAATTTTTAATTTAATTTGTATAAAGATAATAAATTTCCAGCACAAAGTTTGATTCCTGTTTGAAGGATCAAATTTGATCAAGATTCATTATTTTGTTATAAAGTACTCTCGTGTTTTATTTTTAGCTATGATATATTTACATTCTTATAAATATGTAAATTTATATCTCTCAGCAGATCATCTATATCACTACAATTCTTTATCGTTACAATTCTTCTTTTGCACTGCAACAAGACGTAACAATTAATACTTCCGATATTAAAAGTTGATTATAAAACCGATCGTCGCGTTTAAAAAGTTCAAAAGTTTATCAAATAACAATATAATCATCGACGACGAACGACATTATTTGATCGTTATTGATACTGAATATTTGTTTTTAACTGAGTTTTTTAGTATTTGGTATTTGATTTCTGCAGCTATAATTGTAGCTTTAAAATCAATATCGTTGTAACTAAGGTACCTGAGTCAAATCAATATAAATAAGGCCCACCTGATTTATTTTTTTTTTTTAAATTCTATTTATGTGGAGATATTGAAACTAATTGTAAGTGAGAATCAAATCTTTATTTCTTTCATACAAAAATAAAATATATTACTTACATAAAATATTTGTAAATGAACAAAAATATTTTTTTATCTCTGGGCTTTACTATATGCATATGAATAATAAGGCTGAAATAAAAAATAAATTAAAAATTACAAAAAAAAATAAACATTATCTTTCTAAATCAGTTTTTATATGATTATTAATCATGAAAAGGAAATTTCTTAAGACTTACTTTACTCTCAAATATTACAATTACCCTTAACTTTATCTATAATTAACTCTTTAATTTTTAGAATTTTCTAGCAATTTGAATGTAATTTTAGCTTTTTAAAAGATAGCAGCATTGAAAATCGTTATTTTCTTATATAAGCTCCACACTTGACAAACAAATAACAATAGCTGTAATAATAATCATACAAATAGGCCTAGCTTATTTAATAAGTACATTGCTTTAAAAAAAATATTTATACTCATTTTATTTGTTATTTTCCATAACTAGGAAATTGGACAATATTATAATGTATTATTATAAACTATGAAACAATGTGTACTGATAAACTTTGCAGAGAATTGTTATAAAAAAATGATTCCTACACATAAGTGTTTGTTGTGTTAAACAAACGTGTTGCTACCGATTCCATTTCTTTAATCTCTTTGTATTTTACTTTCTATAACGCATCTTTTAAGCATATACTACAAGCGTAAAATGCGTTTTAAAGTAATAAATTTGAAAGTGGACCTTTAGTGCTGAGCCTTATTTAGCTCAAGTACCTTATTTCTTTTTCTTATAATATTTCTTTAATCTAAAAAATGTTAATACTTTATAATGTTTTTTTTTTTTTTTGATAAAACATAATTGATATAGCACCTAGCACTGCTCGTTATATCTCGAATTTAATCTTGTTAAACATAAATCAATGTTTCCGTAATTTCGGCTAAAAACTATAATGGTTGTTCTAAGAAAGCAATTATTTGCATGGGACAATCTCTATTAATATATTTTACTATTTTTAAATAAATAATTTCATTGTTTGTATTTATTGTAACCAAATAATATATTATTTATTGAAAGATATTACTTCAAATAATAATGTTATTTCTCAAAATAATAGAAGTCAAATAATAGAGGTTTCTCTCGAATAAAACAACGAAATTTTTATTCAAACAAACAATATTTCGTACAAGCATTATATGTTATTTTTATAAAAACAAATTTTAGTCAAATAAATAGGAATATAAATAGGAATATTAAATCCAAAGAAACCTTTTTTTCTATGTGTGTGTATACATTAAACCCAAAAAAGAAGAAGACCAAACTCAACAACCAGTCGCGAAAAAGTTGGGCTCGATTTAAAGCTTCGCTAAATTGCTTTAAAGTATCTTTCCATGCTGA